ACAAATCCTTTTATGAGTTGAACACCCCCATCTGTCCTCCTCCCCACCTCTTTGTCCACATTGTTCATAAACCCTCTAACCTGCTGGTTACTCTGCTGCTCCTTGACCACTAAGCAATGCTCTCTCTGCCTAGAATGTCCTTCCCCAGAGATCCGGGGAGCTGACTCCCTCATTTCCTCAAGTCTCTCCTCAAACATCACCTTCTCAGGACACCTGCCCTGCCCACCTCATGGGGAACACCAACCTCGGCTTGCTTTACTTCCTCCATGAGATGGTCTAGATATTTCACCTCTTTATTTGTGGAATAAGTCCCAAGGTGCTACACTCTTAACCTAAAGGTTCAGGGTTTGACCCAGCAAAGCCATAGGAGAAAGGCATGGCAGTCTACCTCCATAAAGATGAACAGAGAACAACACAAACGCACTGCCACCATGATTCACAGAGTAGAACTGCTCCATGGGGCACTCCTGGCTGAAACCATGATGGAAACAGACAGCCAGGAGCAGTCATAATGTGCAGCGTCTGCCCACCTCCTACCCTGGACACAATCACATCATCGCCTGTCCTACCTTATCATGGCACTTGTTAGGATCAGAAATAATCTTATTGTTCATCTCCCTCACTGCTCAGTAAATTACAGAAGACCCGGAGCCTGTCTGCCCTGTTCACTTGCCCCCCTGGCATTTCTGAGTAGGCTCCTGGGAATTCTTGGAATGGAATGAGTCACCTGTGATGAGTCCCGCTGTGAGGTAGAGTTGGATGAGGGTCCTCGAGAAGGAGCCGGTCACCATGCCCAGGCTGGCCAACATGCCCCCCAGCATCACGGTTGATCGGCAGCCAAAGCGCTCCACCAGGACGCTGCACAGGGGCCCTGAGGGGTGGAGAGACGAGGGGCTGCCCACAACAGCAGAAAGAGGCCGGGGCAGGGGGGAGCAGTGGGGGACGGGGAGGTCTTCCCAGCAGGAAATAGCCATGCACCTAAAGGACGCAAGCCCTGGAGCCTGTGGACCTGGGCCCTGGTTCTCACCCTGCCGTGGACTGGCCCTGTGCTCGAGCAAGGCTCCGTCCCTCTCTGTACCTCAGTTTCCTCCCTTACAGAGGGAGAGGTTAGACTGATGGCTGACCAGCTGGAACATGAGGAGCTGCAAGTGGTCAGTTTGACCTTGAGGGGGATCCCAGAGGGGCAGACCCAGGCCTCTCACCTCAACCCGAGGCTGCTTCCATCAGGTGAAATGAGATCAGCTCACCTGTGTGAACTCCTGCCTATAGGTCTGTTATGGGAGGATCCCAGGGAACTTATACCATGTCAGGCATCTCAGCTCTGCTCCCCCAGCCTTAGGAAGACCGGTAGTGCAAGTCCGTCCCTTCACACCATGGCTTGGGCCACGGCTCTCCCACCACCTTCCACCCTGTCCAGTTGGTGGCCTTTACCGCTACAGTGGGCAGCCTGGGCCCTTGGTCACCCACTCTGCATCCCTGCACATAACTTTGGGAAGGTTATGGAGTGCTCTGGATGGGGGTGGGTTGCCTCTCCCCTCCCCCATCACCGAGGTCTTAGACCCAGACTTTTTTTTGGCTCCAGTTGGAGGCCTGTTCCCCCATGTCCGGCCCCCACCTGTCCTGCCTTCTCACTGGCACAGACCTGGATATGCAGAAATGGGCCAGTCCAAGCCAGCTGCACCTGACACTTCCCCCTGGGGGCCCCATGCACAGAGGCCCCTGCCCCAAGCGCAGCATAACTGAGCTTTTCCAAGGTTACTTTCTCAATTGCAACCTAAAGGACCGGGACAGTGTAGGGGTGGTTGGGTAGAGGGTGTGTGTGTGTGAGGGTACGAGCCAGTGTGAGTATGTGAGGGACCAAGGAAGTGAGCAGCCCATCCTCAGAGATAATGAAGCAGAGGCTGGTAACCAGTTGTCCATAAGCTGTGGAGGGAGGGGTGAGGCTCTGGATGGGGCAGGATCACTGACTCATGCACCTTCCCCACCCACAGGCTGACTTAGGAAAGGTAACATTGGGGAAAGCCCTGAGTCATCATGAGTTGGGGTTGGGGGCTTGGACGCCAGCCAGCTGCTGATAGCCGAGGCTGCTGGGTGGGGCAGCATGATTTCTCCTGGGGCACTATTTCTGCCAGGAACCTGTCCAGCAGCCTCGGGCAGCCCCCTGTCCTCTTTGCTCGCTTGTCCTCCTGTTCTGGAAGGTATGTGTGTGAAAGGTGTTCAGAATCAGTGAGAGCCTAAACTCTCTGAAGGACCTTAGGCCAAAAACGCGTGTGCATGCATGTGTGCGTGTGTGTGGGCGCGCGTGTGTGAAGGGCCAAGGGACAGACAGAGAGGGACCCCAGTGGCTGAGATGTTGTGGCTGATCGGGTATTAGTCTAAAGCTGGTTGGGAGAGAAGGGTCCCTCCCATCAGATGCCCGGTGAGCAGGCCCCTCTACCCACAGTAGAAGGAGACATTTTAGGTTTCCACACTCACCCAAGCCTGCAGGCCAGGAGGCTGTGGTGGTCCCAGGCCTGACCCTCCCCTTGCCCTGAGCCCACGTTCCTGGGCAGCAGATCCAGAAGTCATCCCAGAGAGGTCTGGCCTCCCTCCCAATTCCAGGGAAGGACTTGGTGCCAGGCAGAGGGAGTGGCAGGAAGTTAACCAGGGAGCTGCGGCCAGCTGAGATAAGCAAACAGCATGCAGGGACCAGGCCCCTCTAAGACTGGTGTCTGTGGAGTTCCCAAGGGGAGCTCCCAGGAGCAGGGCCGCTCCCAGCACTCTGAGCTGTGGTGGAGAACCCTCCTGTGGCTGCTCCTGCCCTTCCCCCGTGGCTGGGGACAAGGTGAGTGGGTCACATTCCTGGAGGAGCTGAGCAGGAAATAGGGGCACACATGCATGTGTGTGTGTGTGTGGTGTGTGTGTCTGGGTGTGTGTCTGAGTGTCCATGTGTGTGACTGGATGCTCACTCGTGGAAGAGAGAGAGGTGCCCCAAGAAAGGAGCAGGACAAAGAGGGGGCTGTCCTTTCTCATCTCCCCAGCTCTCTGGCCTTCCCCTCCGCAAGTAGCCCAGGGGGAGACAGGCCTCCTGCTCTGTCTCCCTTGACTCTGTGTGTGAGTCCCTTCCTCAGCCCGAAGCCCCCTGATAAGGGTCTACAAAATAATATGAATTCACAGCCCCGGACAGTTTTCCAGCTCTGCACACTCCCAGGGCTCCTAGGAGCCTCGCCACAATCCCATGTGGGCTGTGGGTGGGGTGCTGGCTGTTACCCCCATTTTGTAGAAGAAACTGAGGTTCTGAGAGTGGAAGAGCCCTGGTTGGCTGAGCCCAACCCCAGCTCCTCCCAGGCCTGGCGTCTCTCTGGCATCTCCCTCGTCTCCCCAAGACAGCTGGTGGGGACATGAGCCAGTCCAGCTGTTTTCCAGCGGGGTGGGGGGTGGGGGTGGGTGCAATTCTACAGGTTCACCCCCCCAGGGCAAAGGCTGTGGCCTCAGAGCTGAGGAGTCTTGGCTGCTTCTCACCCCTCCCAGAGTGCCCTCACTGCTGCTCACCTCCTGCGTGGAGCACGGCGGTCAGGATGGAAGGGAACCAGGAAGTGGCGCTGTTGCTAGCCTGGAAGTCCCGCTGCAGCTCGGTGAAGAAGATGCTGGTGCAGGTGGGGAAGCCCAGCGTGAGGCCCTGGCTCAGCAGGGAGGCCAGCAGCACTGCCCAGGCCCAGCCACTCTCCTCCTGCTCCGGGGCCTGGGGCATCCTCCGCTTCCGGCGCAGCCACGGCTGTCACCACCTGGGCCTCCTAGAGACGAGACAGAATGAAGCCCTGCAGCGGCCCTTCTCTGGGCGGCTGAAACCCGTCCCTTCCTCTTGTCCCGATACCAAGGATCATGGAGGGGCACCGCCCCCTGGAAGGCGGCCAGAGGCCCACACAGTGATTGGCCTTGGCATCTCCTTTCATCAACTTCCCAGAGCCAGCCAGCCTGGCAAGAGGTGGCAGGCAGGGCAAGAAGGGTCAGTGGGCAGGTGATCAATGGCTCAGGGCAGTGGGTGGGTTACTTCTAGTCATCATTACACCACTTTAGGCAGTGTATGGGACGTCCCCACCCAGCCTCGAGCCCTTGAACACAGCAGGCACCAACACCCAGGTGTAGAATCTGGGCCAGGGTCATCTTGATGCCCTCACAGGCATAAAAGCCAGTACATTTTCAAGCATTCCTGCACATAAGCACAGACCTTGGCCGTGCCACATAAGTGGCAAAGTTCACTGTCAGGACCTCACGAAGGCAGGTGAGCAAACTGGGGCTGGTGCAGCCCAGCGCGTACACCCAGCGGCGTAACATGGCACTGACAGAGATCAGCTTTCACAGGGGAGGCTGGAAGCTCATCCCGGGGCCTGTGAAATCACCACAGCCAGGAGCTCGTGGCCAAGAGTCAGCTTCCATGACTGTGCTAAATAGTGACCTGCAAATGCTTCTCTCTCCAAACACCCCAACACACACACACACACACACAGGGCACACAGAGACACACACACAGCCCCAGAGATGCACACCGAGATGCACACACACAGACCCCCAGATACGTATACAGAGGCACACAGCTACACACACAGCCACACAGCACACAGCCATACACACACCCAGACACGTACCCACTCAGAGTCAAACACAGAGATACAAACACACACAGACACACTATACAGACAGACTCATATACAGAGACACACATAGTAGACACACAGACATGAACAGAGGCACACACTCACACACATTCATACACACACATACACATTTACATGCAGACAAGTCCAGAGACAGACGTACACAGACACACTACACAGAAATACACACATACAAGCATGTCTGGATGCACATGACACAGACACATAGACCCATGCACACACGGCTCTATCAGCGTTCAGGGCCACCACCTGGGACACTTCCCTGCATCACACAGTGCCCATGACCAGCCTCCAAAATCCCTGGCCCCCTCCCCAGATGCAAGCTGGCCTCCGCTCCCAGGTTCCCTTCAGCCTCACCAGCACTCAGGGCTCCAGGCTGTGGCTGCAGGGAAAGGACTTGGCCTCAGTTAACTGAGGCCAACTGACTCCACGAGCTGCTGTTCCCACAGCCTCCCTCTCTTTAGCTTCAGGTCCTGGGAAGATCTTGGAAGCTCAGGAAACTGCCAGAAATATGAAACCCCTTCTTCCTGTCAAGCCCAGTGCCCCACACCTTCCCCCTAGGCCTGGGAGCCTTAAAACAGGACTTCAGCTGGATCCACCCTCAACTGCCTCCTTTAGAAGCTCCAATCACTTCTCAGGGTGCAAGGCCCCCTCCCTCCCCAGAGAACTCCCCAGGAGCCACGCCAAGGAGGGCGTCCCATTCATCAGACTCAGCGTGTGTGTGTGTGCATGTGTGTGTGTGTGTGTGTGTCCTCCTGGCATCTGCATGTGACATTCAGCCTTAGAGAGTGCCTCAGCCTTAACCCCCTGCCCAGTTCCAGGCTCGGGGCAACACCTCAGATGATTATTCCTCCAGCAAACTGACTCTCACCTCTGCCAAGGTTTCTGATCCTTCAGCAAAGGGAAAGGCCACAGAAGCCACTTGATCCTTTCTGTCCTGCTCAGAATGTCAAGCCTCCATACCTCCTGCCAGCACTTGCCAGCCTCTCAGCCTTCATGGCCCTGACCCCTTCCCCTCTTCCTCCCAGAAGGGCTCACCCAGCCCTCCTCCACTTCCTCACTTCCTCCTGCCAGCCTGGTCACTTCTGCCTCAGTTCACCCTGAAGGGTCTGAGACCCTGACCACATTCAGGATGGGCCGCTTCCGTTCGGAGGAGCCAGCTGTCACGGACCCAGAGGCGGCTGAGCAGAAGAGGCATAGACTGGAGAGGAGACAACATGGGAGTCTTCTGGACACTGGACACCAGGCCACTTCCTCTCTCTTTCTTTGTCCTACCCCTTCTATGGAGAGGTTTTCCTTAGCACTTTCCTCAGCAGCCCCTTTTTTTTTGGGGGGGGGGGTGTTTTCAAGGCTTCCCTTCCCTTCCGCCTGTACCTCACCTTCCCTCTGGAAACTTTCAGTGGGTCTGGATCTCCACAAATCCTCCTCTCTCCAGGTCCCACGAGATCAGTGGTAATCAAACCAATAGCCCACATTATTCCCGGTGGAGAGAGACTGAAAGCATTCACCTTACAAATGGGAACCAGACAAGGATGCCCTTTATAACCACTCCTATTCAATGCTGTACTGGAAGTCCTTGTCAGAGCAATAAGGCAAGAAAAGGAAATAAAGGGTGTTCACCTTGGCAAAGAAGAAGTAAAACTATCTCTATTTGCAGAGGATATGATCCTATACAAAGAAAATCCCAAAGACTCGGGAAGAAAATGACTGGAACTAATTGATAGTTTCAGCAAAGTGTCAGAGTACAAGATCAATTACAAAAATCAGTCCAATTCCTTTGCATTAATGATGAGAACCCCGAAAAGGAAATCAGGAAAGCAATACCATTTATAATAACCACCCAAAAGATGGGGAGCTCTGGTGGCGTGGTGCCTAAGGCACTTGACTGCTAACCAGAAGGCTGGCAGTTCAAACCCACCAGCCACTTCTCAGAAGGAAGATGGGGCAATCTACTTCTGT